GTGACGATCTGAATATTGTTCTGAGATAAATCTCTACCCAAACACAAACAGAAAAGTCTCAGAAATTCACTGCTTTTACTTGCTGTACTTTTGGCTCCAACAATTTATTTTAAGGGCTGGTATCAGTCTTTAAATCCCATAATCAAACACTACAGCCTCTACTTTGTAGATCTTACATATGACCCTCCATCTCCTCCTCCTGTGCCCCCTCCTCCTCACACTGTATTTGTCCCTGAGGATTTTCACAACCCAGGGTGGATCAAGTCTCTGCAAATCAATATCATCCATTCATGTGGGAGCAGCTCAGGCTCCATCATGTGAACATGCACACTCAAAGACACAGAAGTTGGCACACCTACAGTATATAATTGCATTCTGTACGTAAGACCCATGAGATCAAGAAAGAGACGGACACAAAATGAGTTTTGTCGTTATTGCCAAATAAACTGAAGTTGCACGGACTTTATCTCAGCAAGCGCATGATGAACGCAGGAGAGAATATCAGGAACACCCATATAAATAATAGCCTTACTAATGCCAGCAGTAAGTACTGAGATCAGTCAGACAGGGCCAGTTAATAGACCCATAGAGATGCTGAGGATAGAAATGAGGGTAGAGGATGGAGAGAGTCAGTGGAAAAGTGAGAGGGAGGAGAGGAAGGAGGAAACTAGCAGAGAAAGCGAGACAGTGAGGCTGGCCATTATAAATCATATCCGCTGTTGGCGCCGGCCATGTATCCTAGCAACCAGACAGACCCTCCGCCTCTCCTCCATCCCCTTTCTATCTTCCGCTAACAACCTGGTCACTCTTATTACCCATACTGCACTGGGCTATGCCCCAGAAACTCATGACAGAGCGTGGCCTGTGCTTACAGCTAGCTGACTGATCTACTCACGGTTTGTATTCAACTTATGCTCATCAAACCTCATAACAGCTGACCCCAGAACAGTGCACTATGGACAGATAATAGACATTATACAGACTCCTGTGTCACTCACACTCACACACACACACACACACACACACACACACAGTGATAAACTGTGTAAGTGTCATGTTCAATCGCAGTCCCTCTCTCTCTTTTTTGTAGTTTTATTCATTCACTGACTCGAAAAACAATCCATGGACACAGATAAAGACGGTTTTAATAAATAAATATAATTTACTTAATTCAATTCTGATATGATATACGACTAATTAAGATAAATTACAACCACAAAGCTCACGTGGCAACACATGTCCGACATCATCCATGTTATCCTGAGCTAGTGCACTATGATTTAAGTTCCATAAATTACTATCTGGATTTTATTATGATTAATAAGCGCCCTGCACACCGTCACAGGAGTTTTCAGTTCTTTTGACTAATTAGACTTCCTGTTCAGGTTGAAGCTGGATGTAGCTACACTGGGAATTACATGAGTTCAACAAATTTCATGTAGGCTACTAATAAGAAAGATGAAGGTTTAAACTGCCCCAACTGTAACAAGTACAACCGCGCACGCATGCAGACACGCACACACACGCACGCACACACACACACACAGAGCCCTTGGACGAAACAATCATCTCACTATAAGAGGGATAGGATAGGAAGCGTTACAATTACTACATACTAAATGTGTTTAGTTCATGCCACTAACTCTCATAGGATAAGGCATTTTAGTTAGCATATAAAGAGTCCATGGGTCGGTCACAGAAAGAAAAGCGCAGGTGTAAATAATAAAATGAAAGATGGCTTAATTCACTGCTCCACTTTCAGGATGCTGGTTCCCTGTCACACTGTCACGGCTTGCTTGACTAAAACTGAGACATTATGAATTTCATTAATAACACCTGATCTTCCTATTACAACACGTCAAAATGTGTGCTGTGAACAAGGCCTACGGACTTCACCGTTTTGTGCTAACAGGAAATTGTGCACTGCATGTGTAGATGGACATCAATCAATCTGCGTCTTTGGAACGTCACTGACAAGATTTTTTCTGAGTTGTCTCAACACTATTCCCAATTTATTTTTATTTTTTTGCAGCTGTTAGCTCCTAATTTTCATAGTTTTTCACAATTTTAGAACACATACTGGCTGAGGACATGTAATTTTGTCACTGTACCAGTGTAAACACACGACATACTGAAAACCCGCTTAGAATTAGTCTGCAGTAGTGAATTAGGACACAGCTTTAGCGTTGTCGACTCCCTGTAATCACCTGAAATCCAAATGCAGTCTGTTCCCTTTGATCAACTAAGCCTTGTTCATTTCAATGACTTGGGGAAAATCTGAGATAAAACCAAATATTTGCACATTCAGTGATAGTCAAAATGCCATCAGGTTGACAAGATATCGACTAAAACATGACTTTAAGATGCAGAGTCATAATCAGTGGATAACAGGCTAATTCTGCGCCCATTGTGTTCATTTGTCATAGGACCTATTGCATGTTTCTACAGTTTCTATCGTATGGTTCTGCATGCAGGACCTCTAAAGGATGCATGCTACCCGAGTTGAAACTATAGTAAACACCTCCAAGCACAATCAGTTGGACAAATTGTAAAGGCGTTGCCTGCAGGACTGAGAAGACTGAACAGACCCTTTGTTTACGTCAGTTTACATCCAGACCAGCGGTTAATGATTTTGAGCCCCAGGTAAAAACACGAGGAAGAGCACATACTGTATAAGCTGTAGCTAGCATGACTCGCATTTAGTTGTCAGGCACACTGAGCAGGCCGACTCCCTGCTGCAGCTTTATGCTGTCTCCTCGCTAAAAGCTTCACCCAGTTACTGGTCTCCAGACAGCTACAGTTTAATACTACCCCTGCACCTCTTTGGGCTTGGCTACAGCCTCATTGTCTGGCTTATGAAATTTTGAGTACTCAGCAGAGTGAACAGACAGTAACACACATGGAGGATGAGTGTGTGCATCTGTGAGAGCGAAGGAAATGAAGCACTCAGGAACCACTCAGTCAACCCATAGTCCGAGAGCCACCAGAAGTGGGTGGTATGAGAGGAAAATTGTGTTTGAGGAATGAAGGACAAAGTAGCCAGAGTGTGTGTGAGTATGAAGAGTGTGTGTATACTGACAGAACACAACTATGCCACCTTGTGGACCAGGATTGTCAGGAGTCTCCTCAAATTTTCCTTGGCCTGTGAGAGAGAAAATTATCAATTATTTAAAGGTTGGTTTTGCAGTTCATCACAGCATTTGAAAAGTGATTATATACAAGAATGTGCCACCGTGCTGGAGGAATAAAAACACGAATACAGCTTGATCACTTTTTCTTTTCCTGTCTTACATAATCTACATACTGTGTGTATCCTGTGTTGCTTGTAGATAGATTTAAATCCCAAACTATCCTGCTGAATTAGGTGGCTCCCAGTTCCTGAGGTCTCCAAGAAACACAAATAGATCTATCTCTAGTCAGCGTACACCCGCTACACAATCATTTCTTGAGGGATGCTCCTGAGCTTTTCAAGGGCGACACCTCTATAAATCTAAGATAAACCCGCTTTTAAGATTTAATGAGATTCACAGTAAGAGTAAAAGTAAAAAAAAAAAAAAGGAAAAAGAGATAGCAAAAGTGTCATTCCTATAGGCACCGTACACCCAAATCCTTCAGGATAATGAATTAGATTAACTTTTCCTTTAATCTCTGCCCTTATCTAAAATTGTAGGAAGAAATTTATGCAGATAAGCAAAGGTTTAATCTCTAAGCCAGCAATTGTGTTTCTGACTATTATTAGCCTAGATATCAGTGTGAGGGAAGCCAAAGTCATCTCCCTTGGTTTGTCATTCCACAAGAAATAGACAGTACACAGTATTTTTCAAAAGCACCAAACAGCTCTTTCCAGGCAGCGTTGAGAACGTTTCTGTTGATGTATGTAATTCTAATTAACCCCCTAAAACTAATGCCCCTTCTTTTACTTTCCTGACCATAAATATAAACAAATATAAAACGATTGCCTCATTTTAAATAGTCTAAAATTATTATCAAAATATCCCCTATCTTTTGTGGGCGTGTTTTTTTGTTAATTTGTTGATGTTTGTTTGAAGATGAATATTGGAAAAAGTAAGATACAGTATATCACAACACAACAAATAACTAATCCAGATGTGATATTAGGGAATTCGAAATTACATTTAGCTCGTGTGTAAATAAAGTCATTTACTTCGGTAAAAATTTTCAAGTAGATCTATGCCAAAGTATTAAACATTGAAAATTGAAGAAACAATCACTCAGAACTTCTTAAATACGATAAATAGGAGAAATTATATGGGCAATACACGCAAAATAAAATAAAAAGAAATAAATCAATTAACTGTTAGCTGACCAGTTTCGAGCCTCTGACTGGTTGAGTGACGTAGTAACTGAAACCTTAATTGGAATCACATGGTATGCTATTTGACATGCTACCCAACAAAACCCTCGCTTGTATTTTACCCGTATTCTTTAAATGTTTGACCATTAAAATTTTAATTTAAAGTCTTGTGGGGTCACTGTGTTTGTGTGTTACCTCAGTTGTATGCAGCCACTTGGAGGTCAGCTGTGTAAGTTTGGCGCATTGGGGTTCATCTCTCTGCTACAGAATCCCTGTGAAGCACAACGTCTTTATTGTTTAGTTAAACTCAGCATGAACTGGTTATGAGGCGATTTTCTTCCACCAACTAGAACAAAAATAAACAGGAAACAGTCGAGACGACGAACACAGCCCACCTGAGCCGTTGAGGTTCAGACCATGATGCTGCCTTCAGGTGCAGTTGGATATAAAACCGTCGGCCATTCCACACGAAAAAGCGCCAAGTGCTAAACTGTCAGGAGAATTCAGCTTTTCAATAATACTCCTATTCCCCACTTTACATTTAAGGTTAACCACATGCTGTACACACATGCTTTGTAAAAGTGTGTTTTGATTATTAGTTGTTATTTTTAACTCGAAAGTTTATATTTAATTATTTACGGGATGTGCCTGAATGCATCATAAGAAATTCTGACGACTTTTTCTCACACGGTCGCGAGACAATCACAATACAGCATGCGAAGGATGGCGGCGGAGATTCAACCTGTCAAGGAGCAGAGGTGAGTCTTCCTCCCGAAAACACGCTTTTATTCTAACTCTGTGCAAGTTTATGTGTTATTTTTTTCACTGTAACGTGAGTGCTGTCCGTTTTGTAGTGACATTACCCAACAACATTGTTTGATTGAAGTAGCACTGACTATCTATCAAACCAAACCTCCATTAATCATCGTGTCATTTTAATGGTATACTCGATAACTGTCAAATGTCAAAATCATCTACCTGTATCTAAAGGTTAATTCGGATATACGAGGTGACCCCCAAGGGTAGAAATGTATTCAAGTGAACAAGTTTATTGAACTCGTTCATATAATCTCCTGGATCTCGGGCCCAAATATTGGATTGGTGTTGGTAAAACTGTCTCTTGATGCATTTGATGCACGCCGAATTGAACAGTGACAATTATGGATTTCTATAAATTCTTAAGTAATGTTTTACCAAGCAAACGTTTATATTGGAAAGCAAGTCAACATTAAATTGCCATTAAAATACACAGACCAAACTGACTATCTGGGCTAATGTTTGCATGCTGTCATGTTTTTGTAGAAGAAAGATTCAGGTCCTTTATAGATTGTATAGGAGCAGCACTGATAACTGAAATGTATGGACAAAGTTCAATGTATAGTTTGTCTGTGTTTGCATGTACCATATGTTACCTGTCTGCCTGCTCCGGTGCATGCTTGCTGTCTGAATCACAGCTCCTGGATATTAAGTTGGCTTCCCTCTTGGTGCCCCACTTCTCCCTCTCAGCTGAAAGATGCAGAAGAAAAAATGCTCAAGGGTGAGTGTGTCTGAAAAAGCTGTTGAGCCACTTGTAAGAACTTGACTGTTTTTCTTAGTGCTGCATCACCTGAATGCTTAGAAAACTGTTTTTTTTTTCTTTTACAAAAAGGGTCAAAAATATCAGACCTGGTCTCTGAACAAACATAAATCAGTCTAATGAATTAGGGTGAGTCCCATGTTCTCTTCTTCACCTCCGTCCTTCCTCCATCCATGTCCCATAATCTACTCTACTACTCTATCTGCAGTTGTGAAGCTGCCTTTCTCCAGGCAGCACGTCCGGATATCCAACGGCGACTATCTGTGGACGTTAGCGTTTTCCACTCCGTCACAGCTATGCTCCCCCGCGTCTTGCCAGCAGCCCCCCACCCGACCCAGGCCTCCATTGGTTCTCCTGCATGGCTTTGGCGGTGGAGTTGCCCTTTGGGCCCAAAACCTGGACTCTCTCTCCAGCAATGGGCCGGTGTACGCTCTAGACCTGCTGGGCTTCGGCAGGAGCAGCCGTCCCCAGTTCAGCACCAGCCCTGAAGGGGCTGAGGAGCAGTTCTTGGCAGCCCTGGAGGAGTGGAGGGAGAAGGTGGGACTGGAGGAAATGGTGCTGCTGGGGCATAACCTCGGAGGATACCTGTCTGCTGCCTACGCTCTCAAATACCCACACAGGTGCTTTGGTGTGTGTCTGTGTGCGTGTTCGTGTTTCTGTGTGGGTGGGTGAGAATAGCTTCACTTGTTTATAAATATACAACAAATTACCTTTATTACCAGGAGTCAACACTTCTGAAGTACAGAAATAAAACTAGCGTGCAAAAAATGACTAATTAACTAGCCGATCGAAAGAAAATTAAACAGTAACTAATTTGATAACTGATTCATCGTTTCAGTCATTTCTCAAATGTAATGATTTGCTGCCATCTTGGGCATCCTGGGCATTTTTGACTACTTTTTGATATTTCATAGACTCAGCAATTAATCACTTAATTCAGAAGATAACAGGCAAATTAATTGATAATGACAAAAAAATCTGTTGCAGCCCTAGTGGAGTTTACTGATGTGTGTGTGTGTGTGTGTGTGTGTGTGTGTCTGTGTGTGTGTGTGTGTGTGTGTGTGTGTCTGTGTGTGTGTGTGTGTGTGTGTGTGTGTCTGTGTGTGTGTGTGTGTGTGTGTGTGTGTCTGTGTGTGTGTGTGTGTGTGTGTGTGTGTTTGTGCATGCACGTGCAGGGTAAAACATCTGCTGCTGGTGGAGCCGTGGGGGTTTCCAGCGCGTCCTGAGAACCCCAACCACAACTCCATCCCAGTGTGGATCAGAGCCATGGGGGCTGTCATGAGCCCCTTCAACCCTCTGGCTGGACTCAGACTGGCTGGACCTCTAGGTCAACACACACACACACACACACACACACACACACACACACACACACACACACACACACGGATATATAAACACACTGGCACGTAAGCACATGAGGTGTATTCTTCCTTCTATGTCACACTCATTGCATTTTGATGGCTGGCTAAAGATGTGTGACATTTTTAAACTTCAAAATAATGTATAATTAACAGCAACAATGTGATTTAATTAGTGGGAAAATGAGGCCATGATTGAGACGACTAAATCACCTCATGACAGTGGTATTGTCAGATCATTCTTTAATTGTTTTCCACTTGAAATATATATTTCTTTGTGCTTCCTAACACAAAAAGGATTTCAGTACTTATCTCTCTACCCAGTCTTTGTCATTGTCCAGTGTTTGTTTAGTCTCTCACTTGACTGAAAAAAGATGCTTCTTTTTCAGCTCAAGGTTTGTTTGTGTTATTGACCATGCTCTCTTTTGATTATCTCTGTTTGTGGTGTCCTTTTCCTCTTACTTGTGAGTGTTTGTACTATAAAGCACAGTAACGCGTTTCTAATCTGTGTGGCATGAAATATGAAACGTAGATGTAGAGGTCAGAAGAGGCTGCCAGTGTTTTTGACAGTGGTCTTGTTTATTTGCACTTTCCATACTAGTATCTGAAAGTAAATTCCCTTTGTTTTGTGACTTCTTCTCTCCTCTCTCAGGTCCAATGCTGGTCCAGACCATCAGATCTGATTTCAAGCAGAAATACTCCTCTGTGTTCGATGACAACACTGTATCCGACTACATCTACCATCTGAACGCCCAGACTCCAAGGTGAGGAGCTTTTTCAAGCCGGTACGCACAGATATGTTATTTCTCAACACGTCATACACGCATCATCGTACGTCTGTTTCAGTGGAGAAACGGCCTTTAAGAACATGACCATTCCCTACGGCTGGGCCATGAGGCCTATGCTGGAGAGGATCGGGCAGGTCCGAGCAGACATTCCCATTTCCTTCATCTACGGATCACGCTCCAGCATTGACAGCGACTCTGGATATGCTTTCAAGAAAACCAGACCAGACGTGGAAATCACAGTAGGTTCCTTACTGTCGCTTGCTTTTCCTTTTTTTTTATTTGCAACTTCAGTTTGTTGTCAATATGTGGCTGAGAAGAAAGAATTTGAGTAGCTCCAAAACTTATGAATAAAAATTTAATTTGGGTTATTGTAAGTAGGAAATACACTTATTTTACATACATTTTCATTCACAGAACACCTTCAGAGTTTTAAGGGCTGACATAAATGTTCATGAGATAGATTCACATTGCATACAATATTCAGTTGCATTAAAACAGTTGCCTTTATTGGAACATGAACCACAACACCTTTATCTCTAAACAGCTGACTCCCTCTGTTCAACGGTGTGTTTGTGTTTGTCAGGTGATCAGAGGAGCAGGCCATTACGTTTTCGCCGACCAGCCAGATGACTTCAACCAGGCGGTCCTCCAGATCCTCGCCAGGATGGAGAAGAAAAGTGAGGACGAGGGGACGAAGCAGTGAGAGTTCCTTCGTTCAGATGACACACAGGGATTAAGTGACAAAGACCCTTTACACAACAACAACAACTCAACTGTAAGCCTCTTTATCATGCACTTTACTCTTAAGAGAGACCCATCACTGACTGAAGACACTTTACTCATCATTCCACACTCAGGCACTCTCCAAGGCTTGAGGTCAAAGGTCAGATGATGCCATGGTGGTTCTTTATCCAGGCTTGTGTAAATAAGTTTTGTAAATAAATGTGAGATGCAAGTCCGATGTCTTTCGTCCTTAGTGTTTTTCCTGTGCTCGTGTCGTAAGAGTCAGTTTCGAACTAGCATCTATTTCGAAATAAGAATTCTGAGAAGTTATTGGGAAACTCTTGTCTCAAGAGAATATGTTGTTTTGGGTAGAGGTCTAGGCAAAATGCACAGGATGTTCCCTCTTCTGACCCCTCACCCACTCTGTGACAGATATGAGGGAGAAGTAAATAGGGCAAAGGGCTGGTGTGTGTGTGTGTTTTCAGGAAACTTATTCACTTCTCCAGAGTCACCCTGACTGACAGCAGCCAGCAGAGGGCAGCACAGTAACAGCATGTACACATCAACTCCCACAACAGTAACAGTGAATCCCATACACAAAGCGCCCTCACATGCATATTGAGCTGAGTGACCTACTCAGGAGACCTGGACAGTGATGCTTTAAGAGCAGTACGACACCCGGCTGACTGCTAAGTCACAACTGCAGTGACAGAATAGGGTCAGAGATTTGTGTTGGACTATAAATAGGCCTTCTGTTTCAAGAGGCATCGACATGAGTTAAACAACCTGGTCTTTTACCGGGAGGCATTAATTTTGTCAATGTGTGAGTCTGCAAAAATCAGCAAAACCAAGAAAATCTGTCTTTTAATTGGACATTAGTTCGTTTGTTGCACTGCACACTCCATTCACTAAATTCATATTTAACATTCTGCCTTTTTACAGTATAACACACCTATTTGGGACAGTTAAAGCTTTATCATTTTCATTCATTTGTAAAATTTTCCGTTGCTACATAGCTAGCGTTAGCATTAACAGCTGTTTACTTAGCAGTCTAGAAGAAACGCTGTGAGTTCAGTAACAAACTTCATTCCTTCACTCCCCAACAGTTGTCTCCAATGTTAACTCTTGTCTCTATCACACCTTTTCGTCTACTGAAGTTAGCATGCTAACCAGCTAGCCCTGGTCCGTCTTGCCACTTTTGGATTGCAACTCACTGTAGCCTCCAATCTGCCCTGAAGATGTAGCGCTGGCCAGAGGACTTATTTTTATATATATATATATATATATTATAATTATTATTATTATTGTTATACACGTTATATAACGCCCAAAGTCAAGCAACAACCGCCACTGCCTGCTCCTGACAAGAAGTCATGTTCAGCAGCAGAGAAAACTTACAAAAAGCAGCTTCAAAATAATGAAATAGTTCATAGGTAACTACAAAGGAAAACTGGAGACACCATATGGCCTTATTAAAATACTTACAATGTTTGTGAAGAAGCTTCTCTGTTGCAATGAAACATCTACTTCCTCTCATGATGTCACTTTTGCCTCAACTTAAAAGTACCCTATGGGGTTTTTTACCACTTGAAGTGCTATGTAGTCAAGTTTTTCCAAGTGAGTCCCTGTGTTTATAACATGCACGCTTTAGATACAAGTGCTGGTTTCACACTACCCCACTGATTTTAGGTTTGTGGCTGTAGCACACAAGGAAGTGTAGCAGTGCAACAACAAACACAAAAAGGAGGAAGAACGCAAGTTAAAAAAACTTGGATTAAACATTGTATGATTTAAAATATTCACAAAAGTGGCTTTACAAATGTTTTATGAGTGTGCACTTTGGTTAGAACCATTGAATGTAAACAGTTTCTTTACAAGGACACTCAACAACAGGGGACCTTTAAGACTGTGTTTATTTCAAATGAATGCCTCCAACAGCAGGATGGAGAGGGTGAATGATGGTATAAAAGGCTGCAGTTTGGTAAACCAAGCAAGGAGAGAGTTGACAACCTGGAGATGTATTTTGACTATCGAGCACCTTGGCCTTTACTTTTGCAATCCCTCTCTCACCTCTGTCCATCTCTGTGATTTCTGAGACATCAACCCAGCCCACCCAAACTGTCTCCTGGCAACAGGGTAGCCAGGGAGACTGAGTCTTTTGGATCGCCGACCTGCAGGAAGTGATGCTGTGGTTAGATGGGGTAATTATGGGTTGTTTGTTTTCTTGAAGACGCCGGTTGGCTGCCTGTCAAGGCATCGAGGAACATTCAGCAGGAGATCCATGTGCACAGCCTCTTGGGGTGGGAAACGTGCACACATAATGTGCCCAGGCCTCTGTCCGTAACACTCGCTTAATAAGCCTGCAGGCTGATTCATCGTGTCTGTCTCTCTGTCACCCACTCAGTCACATGGGCACAGAATCATTTCATTAGGAAAAGTGAAACAAGCTAGAAAAGTGACAGGAGCTTTCATACTGGGTTGTGGATATAATTGAAAGCTTAAAGGCCTGAAATAACTGCACATAAAAGGTTTGCGCTCACAGAAACACACACACTGATGCACTGCTGCTGCCGGCAGCCTATCTGCTCTGGCTTTATCTTTAATCAGCACCACCGCATACAGATTTGTGCAACCAAAGCACCGGGAGCTCAAAGTTAACAGTGATATCTCTCTTTGATTGGCAAGACCGAGCTGACATTTTTCACTCATTACTCTGACTCATTTTGGTCGTAATAAGTAGGAGGCAACACACACGCCACTCGCTTGATCTCTCTTATGCTACGGGGAATCAAGTCCCCCAAAAAATCTTCTGAAGAAAAATCATAAAACATTTTATAACCTTTAAATAATTTTGGACCTTTACTCATCATTTTAGAATCACAGTAGAAGTGTAACTGTGCTTAATGCGTTGCATGAATGAACGCTGAGTCAGTCCTGCAGAACCGTCTCCTGGATCAGCAAGTACTCACTATACTATAGGTGTCCATCATCACAGTTAAGTTCATTTCTCCTGTGACAATCAACCACCATAATGATATGTATGTATCATGCACAGGCACCTCCACTCCCCTCTTGTCTGAACTGAACAATTGTAGTCTGCTTATGAGTGACTGATGATATTTACAGAGTCCGAGGTTTATTTTTACCCACAAAGGTGGAAGCCACGCTGACATTTACAGGCTGAAAAAGGCAGTATTTCCATGACGTTTGTGTAGCAGAACTATCTTGTTAAACGAAAGGGATATTTATCTCTCTATCTAGAAATTGAATTTACTATCACATGAAAGAGCTGAAAGGTACAGTCATTTTCCCAGCGCTCCAAAATTTCAGTTTTTTTCCAGTGAGAGCACTTCACAGCACCTCACAGCTCTCGCATTGCACCAAAGGCGACAGAGTCTAATGATCACAGCATTTCACTTCTGTGTGAGTGCATCAGGAAAGACTAACAGAACCAGAGCTGGAGTTTGCCAGCTGGTTGGTTATTTTCTACAGACACGGCACAGGAAGAGCTGTTGACGTGATGACTTCTCTTCACCTCACAGAAGGAGTGAAAAGGATCCAAAGAGGCATTGAGACTTTTAGATTGAGACTCATGTGAAGGCATTTCATCACTGACATCACTGGGATTGACACTGAGGAGCGCCACTGATTCATAAAATCCTGTAAAGCTGGTAATTTTTCTCTCTTCACTGAAATTATTGTTCCTGCAGAAACTAAATCTGGTTTCTGAGCCACTGCCTGTCGTCAAGTAAATTTCAATACTTGTCCCAACTGTTTGTTTACATTGATTTTGAATTTTTTCAGCTGGACCTTCCTCATCTACCTATTTATATATACTGTAATATTACATCATTATTACTCCTGCCAAGCAAGTTTTGTTTTCACCCTTTGTTTGTTTGTTTGTTTTTTGGGGCAGATTCAGAGTCTGGTCTATGAGTGCCCCTCTGGTTTCATTATTATTGTTGTTTTGTATTGTTCTGTATTGAGATGGTTAATTCATATATAGTATATATTCATATATTATTCATGACCTCCTACTAAAGCTGTAAACATGGTATTCAGCACCCAGATGTTTTATATTTTCCCATTCTCTAGTTACCTCATATTGTCATTGTAGTGTTATACAGAGAGGGCTGTACAGATAAAATTTACTAGCTTGATTAAGTTTTGCACTTTCACACAGTTGAGGAACTGACAAGAGAGGGTTACTTTAAAGTGACTATAGTCAATAGTTTTGTATTACAATGGATCACGTGGCTGTTTGTACGTGAAAAACGTTTCTTCTGATGAAGCCAAAGTGAATTTTTACCCAACTCTGAAGTTCCCCTCGGCTCTATAGAGCATGTGTTATGTTGTATTGTATGTTTTATGTTTTATTTTAGGTTTCCAGGAGTAGACAGCTGTTTTTTTTTTTTTTTTGTGAAAAAGGGTCTAAAAACCCGCTGTACACAACCTGCCTGCCCAGCACAAAATAACAGAGTTAGCAAGTAGCTTTGCAGCTAATTTCCCCCAGGAGTTGGTATAAGCAAAACAGAGCTAAAAGAAGAGTAAATCTTGGGCTCAACATTCATAAGGTGCACACAAAAAACTACTCCAAATGAATGTTAATGGTTGTCCATAAGTGCTAGATGTCTAAATAAGCCACTGTTAGCTAATATGTCATTGTTATGTTGACAGTGGCCAAAAACATCTGTTATTGCAGGTTTTCCCTGAGCTACAAAAACACCGGCTCCCATGCAACTTATGGCATAGCATCTTTTGTTAGACCATCTTGAACTCTCCTGGGCACCAGTTTGCAGGTTAAAAATGCATCATCTCAAAGCCCGTGCTGAGATACCCCAGTGTCAAATCACTTCATGGAAGAGATAACACATTTTTGGCAGGCAGAGAAGGAGCCTCCCTGTGACTGGTTAATTTGACTTTGGCGTGTAAAATCGAGTGCTCCTTTAAAACCAAGTAACAACTGTTTTCTTTTCACCCTCCAGACCATTTTAACTGATTTGGAAAAAGACCGCAGGGTACAATTGTTAATTATTTCAGAAACAAAGGGTTTTTCCAACCATAATCCGCCTACAGGTCGAGAGGCCTCTGTGGATTCTTTTAAAACAAGTGCGGGTAACATCCAACGGCCCATTCTCATATTTAAGATCATTAAAAGCAGGTGTCCTTCAGAACCAACAGGATGTGGCTTGGGAGGAAGTCTGCCATCCCCGCTGATGT